CAACTCCCATCATTCCCATCAAAGATGACCGGGGATGAGCTTAAGGTAATCCAACAGGCTTCATGTCATACAGGCAGGGAATTAAAAATGTAGTTAATCAACAGCCTTTTCACAGGGCAGGGTTGGAGTGGGCAAAAAAGTGATAGTAGGGACCACAAATGTGTAATTGAAGCCCCACCTATTTTTTACATGACATGCACGTGTGATGTATGTAAAAGATGGGCAGGGTTTTGATTGCGCAGCGGCAGATGACATAATTTTTTGAACCTTCCCGCAGATGCACTAAGCACCCAGACTCTTCCTACTTTCATCATCTTGGTCCCAGCAAAAAGGACGTCAAGAAAAAAGAAAGCCGTTTTTTTCCCCAGCAGCAGAATGCTAAATCTCTGACGCCCCCCCTGCCCTGTCCCCACTTTTCTCCTGCTGTATTCCTGCAGGCTTCTCTCTCTGATATTTTAATAAAGTTTGCAAATGGTACAGGGCCCAGCATTGGTGACGTTCTGGGGTCCCGGTTGCCTGCCGGTCGAATCTGTATCCCACCGTCTCCAACCGGGTTGCTCCCACTACGCAGATTAAAAAATGTAATTAGCATGGTCCGAGTTGCATAAAACTCCCCTGACAGACGTTAGTGGCTCCTCATTTCTGTGCAGAGAACGAGAGCAGGAGCCTCCAAACTGGGACTCAGGAGGGGTGGAGAGAAAAGGTGCCCGTTGGTAAACCCACAAGTGGCTCGTGGGGGCTGCTCACGTTTCCTCGCCACTCATTCTCTTCTCCACCTCCTCCTGCCTTCATTTCTCTTCGGGGAGTAGCAGGGCTGTCAGCTGCTGGTTGGAGACGCTTTGCTCCTGGCAGGCCCCGGTAGCTCGGCTCAGATAGATGGCGAGTAAGTGCTTACACTGCCAAAAGACCAAATGAAACAGACACCACATTAGCGGCATGGCATGGAAGTAGGCCAGTTGTATAGGAGAAGGAAGCTAACATCTCCAGTTTCCAGCTAACCAGGACTTCAGCAAGAAATCAGGAGGAGTCAGGCAGCCCCTTTTCTAACTAAAAAATGTTATTCCAAGCTACAGCTCACAAAAGCTTCTGCCTTGGAATAAAATGTGTGTGTTAGAAAAGGAGCTGCCTGACTCCTCCTGACTTTTGGCCCCCATAAACTAACACAGCTCTCCTCCTAGAACGACTTCTGCAGATGCCCAGGAATTGGTTCTGCTCCTTTTCACCGGGGGCCTGGGATGGAGCGTGAGAACCTCTCCCTGCAAGGAGCTACACCCTCTCCCCCCCTTGGAGAGACCCTGCCCTGCAGGTTCCCACTGTTTCACGTGCACAGGATGAGCTCCAGACTTCATTGTCTTCAGAGGAAATTTCAGTGGAGCTTTGGTTGACCATGATAAACATAACCCCCTTTGATTTCTTAGGGGGATCCTATAAGCTAGGAGTCTCATTCCCATCAGACTTCTCATACTAAAGCCCTCTTAGCCATCCCACCCAACCAACACTTGCAGGCGCTGCCCTGCCTAAGGACATGGGGTGAGTTTGGGCCTTGGAAGACACTCAAGAATTCCTCAATCTGTTTTCAGAACTACCTACTAATTCCCTCCGTCCCAAAGTTGGCCATTTGGAGTTCTTGAGAGGCTTTGAGCTTTGATGCCCGTTCTCCTTTGAAAGTGTCTAGAAGGCACGAGGTGACCTTGGTCTAGTCCATCTCTTCTCCCTCTTGCAGGGTGGCCCTAGCAGGGTCTTCTCCAGTAGACTCAGGACAGAAAGTTCCTCGGAAGCCACCTCCTCCACCTCACACTGCATCCTCTCTCTCTTGCCTGCTCTGTTTTTGGCCCACTGAAGTACAGCCCAGAATGGGAGCAAGCAAAAGCCAGAAATCATTAGTATCATGGCTCTGAGTGAAGCACTGCCAACCATCTGCTTTTTCATAGTCAGCCATAGATGGAAGAGCTGTGGCAACTCCCTTCCTCTCATGCCTGGAATGGCCTTTCTCATCTTGGGGGCGGGGTGGGGGGAAAAATGAACCGAGATCTTCTCTATGCAAAGAAGCTCTTCCTCCAGGTAACCAGACCCCATTTCCCCAGCACGTCATCTTCTTTCAACACAACTGTTTCCTCCCTTGCAAAAACTGGGTAAAAGATACACAATGGGGAGAGTGAGTCATTGGCCACATCAACTATAGATGCACGTTGCTTCCCTAGCATGCCCCTGCCCCCCGCAGCCAGCTTCCTCCAGGGCACAGCCCTCCCCAGCCCTGCCTGGCCCACCCTCCCCTCCCCTCCCCTCCCCTTCCTGAATACTCACCACAAGGTTGTCTCCTTTCCGCAAAACTGAGAATGTGAAAGCCGGGCAACTGCAGAAGTGGCACGATGCATAACAAGTGTAGAGTTTGCCTGAGCTGCCAACCACCTGTGAGTGGAAGAAAATGTTATTTTTAAAAAGTTAAAAAAAAATCAGTTCGGATTTTTTAAAAAGGGAAGATACGTTTCTCTTAGCACAGTAGCCTGATTACTATTATAGGCTGCGTACAGCGTGCAGCCACACGCTCCTTTATCTAGTTTCCCCCCCCCACCTGGTGGCCTCCCAATGTTAGACTACAACTCCCATAATCCCCAGGAGAGTGGGTGGGGAGAGGCAGCATGCCCTAAGTTGCATTTGGGCAGCATGCACCGCCACCTTGAAAAATAAATAAGTAAATAAAACCAGGATTCCTCCCAAGTGGATAAACGGCATTCTAGTCCTAATCAACATGATTGAATGGTCTGATCAGTGCCACGGCTGAGGCAATATACGAAGAAATATATTGTATTTAGTGGGAAATGCAATTTGAATTAGCCCCTTTTTCATTGACTTAAAAGGCTCATGATTCAAATTAATTCAACTTTCCTCTGTGAAAGGGGGGTGGGAAAGGAGAGTGGGGGGAACTGCAGGCCAATTGCTGGAGGTATAAAAAGATTCACAGTGAAAAAGGGGAACGGTTCAAATCTCCGTCAGCCGCACAGCTTGCTGGGTGCGTGAGAGCAGCTGGGGGATTTTCACCCGAACTCCCTCACAGCGTAGGGGTGAAAGTAATCCTGCCAACGGGCAGCGATCCATTGGCGCTACCCTATGGGAGGGGGTGGACGGGGTGGGGGATAACTGCCCCCCAAACAGATACATGGGAAACGCCATTCCGCAGCCTGGGAATCCTATCGCTGGGGCCACAGACCGGGTGGCTCCATTTTTTTATGAAGAACTTCTGATAACAGAAACAAAGAAGAATACGCGTGGACTGAAGTGGTGTCATCTGTTTGGAATTTGGAACTACCTGGGAAGAACTCTGCAAACACCTTTCCTTATCTCTGGAGGGACAGGAGAGTCCCAAAGGGAGCATCTGTGCCCGCGACACGCAACTTAGGAAAAAGTGGCCCGGTGCCCCACAGCCCCGTTTACTCCAGTGTATCCTTCTCGGGCACAGGTCGGGGAAGGGTTCCGGCTAGCTTCTGCCCAGACGGAGCTGCCAGCAGAAGACCCGGCCGGAGATGGGCAGACCCGGCCCTCGTGTTCCCCATCCGGTCTGCCCTGAAACGAATCCAGCTCTCTTGCACCGCCCCCCCTCCCGCCTTTGGGACCGACAGCCAATATTTCAGCCTGGCAGATTTAATCCACTTATTTCTGCCCTGGGGCAGGCTGCCACGAGAACAAGAGGTAATTAAGATGAAAGTCATCTTCAAAAACAAAACAGAATAAAGGAGATAAATGGAGGGAAGCAAAGCAGCAAACTGGAGGCTGAGGGGGGGTGTTGGGGGGAAAGAGCTGCTGGGCTTGAAAGAAGAACATTGCTCTGCCCCAGGCAAAGGCCCCCCACCCTAGGAGCCACCCGGATTTTTCCAGCAAAGCCAACGAGGCTGGGTTTCGGATGCAAAAACTGCTGGCTGTTTTTGTCCCGGAGATTCGTCAGCTCCGATGAAGATCTTCTCCTGCCAACAGGGGCATCTTCGAAAGCCACAGGGGGATCTGCTGATCCCGAGACTCGGACCGGCAGAGGCTCTGGGCTGTTTCCGTGGGTGGGATGGCCGCCCATCCGTCCTTGGAGCAACCGAGAACAGCCTCGCTCTGATGCTCTGAAGACAGCTTTTGCATCGGGAATCTTCTCCAGACCAAAATATTTGAACCTCTTTCGATTCTCCCTTCTAGGAATTCATCTCTAGCTCAGTGTTTCTCAACCTTGGCAACTTGAAGACGGGTGGACTTCAACTCCCAGAATTCCCCA